CACGCCTACGCCATAAGTGACGCAGGTTGGCAAAAGCAAATCGAGCTTTCTGTATCCGAGCTGATATTTCGTCAGTCACCAGACTATCAGCGCTGATGAGACTCCCCAGATAAGTGAAGTGATCAACACGATCGACTACTTCACTCCCTATCACTAGTTCAGGTGCCGATGCAACCCAATCTTGAAAAAACATTTTACATTTCGAGGGTGAGAACCGCATCCCGAACATGCGCGCATTGTTGCTTATGGTAGTCAGAAGACTGCATCTTGTCAGCGTCTTCACCGAATAGGACTATGTCATCGGCATATTCTAGATCAGTAAGCGACTTTCCTGGTAGAAGGTCAACTCCTGAAAAATCTGACGAGCTTAATGTTAACTCTAAGAGGATGTCTATGACAAAGTTAAACAAGAACGGAGAGAGTGGACATCCCTGACGGATACCACTTGAAGTAAAGAATTCAGATGACAGTTCGCCATATGCTCTCACTCGACCAGTAGTGTTCGAGTACAGAGATTGTATAAGGTTAATGTACTTCTTTGATACACCTTTCAATGACAGACACTGCCACAGAACCTCACGATCTACTGAGTCGAATGCCGCTATTAGGTCCAGGAACACGACTATTGTCGGACGTCTAAATGTGTGCCTGTGTTCCAGGACCTGTCGTAGTATGAAGATGTGGTCTATACAACCAATCAAATAAGACTACCATTAACTGAGTTTCCCGCTCAGGTTCTTCAAGAAGAAATATATCCGTGTATGATGTAGACAATGATAAACGCCTTTATACTTTTAACAACACCGGAGATCATCTTATTTCCGTAAGTGTTCGTTTTTATTTAAATGACAATCAAAACAGAAATTATGTATTTCCTCTCTTTTTAAAAAGTAAAAAAAAAATAATCCAACTAACAAATCAACTCTATTAACTAACTGGCGCACACGCACACACACACACACTCACACACTCACATACCGATCATTTGAAGAGATGGTTAATTTGAAATCATCAAAAAGTAATTCACTTTCATATAAAACAGTTAAATGCTTCCTCAAATGAAATTGAACAGGATAAATTTCAACTGATTGAGTTGGCATACGTGAATCCCAAGCTAGGCATGAAAATAAAAAGTAAAATTCTTTGTAAGAAATACATACATAAAACATATATATATATAATCTGTTTATTGTTGTTGTAACGCTTGCTTAAATGATTCCCAGCTAAATCCTATTGCTTAGTATTCTCTGACAACAATACATTGGACAAGTTCCCAAGAATCAAAACACGGTTGAACAGGAAAAGATTATATTCCAAATAGCAAGGTTAAGTGGAAAAGGTGATGGCGAAGGCAAAAATAGGTACAACGTTAGTCTATTTATAGCATTTACATGAGAATGCTTCTGGATAGAAATTCACGTGATCGACTGGATTAGATTTAGCCAATCAGCACTCAGCTAACAATACGAGAATCTTCTACCCTGTTCTCCAAGATTCGATCAGGAGCTGATTGGATAGGAAATTAGCCAATCAGCGCGCAGCTGACGCAGTCATGCTTTAACTCCATCCATGTCCCACTAACAGTTGTAGAGTTATGGGGATTATTGCCTTTCATTGAAATCATGAATCAATCATTGTGAGATCATCGGTAGAAACTTGAAAGCACAGGACGGTCCACTCCACTACTCAGTAGTGTACATCTACAACCTCCGCTGGCGGAAATCGAACCCAGGGCCCTTGGGCTCGCGCGCGAACGATTAACCTCTAAATCACTGAGCTGCCATCCATACTAAGGACGAAACGGCTTTTCAGTGCTGCCAGGTTTTTAACGCTTTGAATTCGACTTAGCACTGAATCATAAAAGCATGAATTTTTGACGGAAAAAGTGAAAACTAGGATAACACAGCGCTGTAACACCCCCTCCTTGGTGGTTTCACAACTAACTAATCAATGAGTAGTGACCAGTATCATGTTTATCGAGTCTTTTAGTGCTGATCGAATTCTGTCAGTGAAGCTACAATATGGCGAACTAGTCTAAACGACTTCAATCGCCTGAAATCTTAACCTAGTACACTGGACGTTAAATCGCTTACACCACTGGCCACACTGCAACTCGATCGATAAAATTCAATCCAGACCAAAGGACTAGACAAAAATAATAATATATCGGCCACAACTGATTGATCTCACTCTTACGAAACAGTCGTAGTCCATTTAGGCATCCGACAATAGTTGTCTTCCTGGACCTTAAGGCGGCATTTGACTCAGTGGATCGTGAGGTTCTGTGGCAGTGTCTGTCATTGAAAGGTGTACCAAAGAAGTACATTAACCTTATACAAGCTCTCTACTCGAACACCACTGGTCGGGTGACAGCATATGGCGAACTGTCATCTGAATTCTTTACTTTAAGTGGTGTCCGTCACGGTTGTCCACTTTCCCCATTCTTGTTCAATTTTGTCATAGATATGCTCCTAAATATAACCTTATCCTCGTCTGAATTTTCAGGAGTAGACCTTTAGTGGTAACATCTCAAAATGTGTAGTTGGATTTCAATCCCATAGGTAGGTAAGCCTTATTGACAACTGACAAGTGACAGGAAATTTAGATTAGGCAGAATATTCTGCACACAACCACAAACTAGCAGCTACTTAGCCAACCGTTTTTTAACTGTTCTTCGGTTGATATTAGTTAGTAATGTAAAAAAAAACTAACTTTCAAACTGTACAATTTCCCTTAAGGAAGATAAAATACAACAATGAATGCTTACTTTTAACACTTAAATAATCACGTGAAAATATAATATAATCAGAGCATTGACCAAATTTCAAGTCCGAAATTGAATTAGTAAGTATTGTAAGTACATCGGATTCGTCTGCAGTAAGACTATGAAAAGCTTTATAGAAAGCAAAAAAACGACACTTTAGCATGAAACGAAAAAAAACCTTGGTTATAAAAAGAAAACTTAATCAGATATAGAATCTTGTACTTTGGATTTTAGTTACTTTATGAGTGAGTACTAGTGATTAAATATTCACCCTTTGTCAGGTTTTGGAATATAGATAAACCTACTGACTCTTAACTATAACTCCGCCTAGAACACTACTGGAGTAACTACCGGTCCCATGCCCGAATAAAGGAGGAGGATTGGGCATGGGATTAGCGACCCAATCTCGTAGAAATCCAATTCGCCAGAAAAACGCTGGTCGACGGCCTATGCTAAATTAGGAGTAACAGGAGTAAGCTTCTGCATTCCTCATAATCTCAACCTTTCTCCTTCTAAATTTATCTTACTGAATTATACTTCTCGAATCAAATCTTCGCTCCCTAATCTTCTAAATTACTGCTAATACTTTTATTATTGCTATCACTGTTGGATTTGAACTGACAGTTGCGTCTCTGTGCTGATGCGGTATGGCAACCTGAACTGATGTACTTACGTACGAAGTTCTGCGTTGTATCTGTCTTTCTGTTTGTCTGGAGTAAGTAACTGACCGCTAACCATAGTTATGTTTCTTAACCTTTGGGCATCATTTACTTATGTAGATCAACAGGTTTTATGTCCGTTCCTTTTATGGAAAGGTGAACTAAAGAAGTACATTAACTTTGTGCAGGCTCTAACCGAAAGCTACTGGTTAGAGTTAATGTTTATGGCATACTCTTGTTGGAATTGTTCGTTCCAAGTGGTATTCGGCAAATTGGTCTTTTCCTCATTTTTGTCATTGATATTCGTTTACATATAACACCTTCAAATTCTAATTTATCTGAAATTAATTTTATACCAGGAGAATTCTCTTGTTGAGTACATAGATGATGAAGAGGCTGAAAAAACAATGCAGCATTCTGACCGCCTTTGCAATATAAGTGTGGGATTCGTTTTTTCCATATAAATCTAAAACTATTGTCGTAATCGATAGACAAACAGACAGATACAACACAGAACTTCGTACATAAGTACATCAGTTCAGGTCAGCAAAGAGACGTAACTGTCAATTCAAATCCAAGAGTGATAGTGATAGTAGAATTATTAGCAGCAGTGGAGAAGATTAGGGAGCGAAGATATGATTCAAAAAAGTATAATTCAGTGAGATAAATTTAGAAGGAGAAAGATAGAGATTATGAGGAATTCAGAAGATTAGAATTTGAGAGAACACAAAGAGTGGATGCACCTGCGCCATTGCAAACGATTCTGAGCCATGTCGTTGAAGGTCTCTAACCATTGGTGACTTTCGTCTCGCGGACCCCAACCAGATAGCCTACATCTACTAACATGACTCAGTCCACTTGTCAATGACTTCATGGATTTCTTCCATGTTTGTCGTAATCGATAGTTGAAAACTTTTCGTGATATGGCTTAAAATTGTTTGCGATAGCCCATTTGAATTTACCATAGCTTTCGTTAGATCTCAAAGTTTCTAGATTCCTGATAAATTTTTTGTAATTCATCAACTCCCTATTTTTAGGAATTGTATATTTGATCCCCTAATCTTTATGACCACTTAAACTGTTACTAACTATACTACTCTACGGATTTTCTCTGAAAATTTTATCTCGCTGTGATAACGGGTTGTTGCGATTTGAACTAATGTACACACACATGTTCTATGTTCTATGCTGAGTTTAACTGACCGATAACCTAATTCTCCAAGCTGTGGTGAATGAAAACAACGCATAGAACGCCATTCAAACCTAGATCTCAAAATCTGTATCTATCATCCAAAAATGATATTCATACCGTAGTCAGCAAATCAGTCAGTCAGCTACAACGTAGAACACTAATCTAACTTCCTTTTCAGGTTCCTCCTCAAGCTTTCATATCGCGCATTTATTTGACGATACTAAGCTTGAGTGAAAAAAAAGGAAAAGTGACCAGTTAATGACACCATATGAACTTTCTATAATCAGACTTAATTACTCAATGCCAAATTCTAATCGATCGTAGTATGTGTGACTTTATAGTACAATTTAATACCAGTGAGTATATGGAAAATCACATTACTTACCAAGAGAAGGTTGATCACAAAGAGAACTTGATCGTGTATCACAAAGAAAAATGGAACCTCTATTAGTACCATATGCGAATAATGATGGAGAAGAATTACTACAACTGATACCAGTGATCAAATGTGATCGATCATCTAAACGATCAAGCATATGATCAATGACACCTTTAAAATTAACACTTGTTAAGGAATCGTAGCTTGGAAAAAAAATTACATTATGGAACATAGAAATCGAATGAAAAAAAAAACACAAAACTAAAGCGGGATCATCCATATTTGAAATGCTGCTCTCTCAGTACTTCAAACTATCCGAGTAAATTAGTGGAATTCAGTCAGTCAGTCAGTCACTTGCAACGTAGAACTTCGTACGTATGTACACACGTTCATGTTGCCAGACCACATTAGCACAAAGACGCAGATGTCAAATCAAATCCCATAGTCATTAAGATAGTAGAGGTATTAATGGAAATGAAGAAGAATAGGGTTTCAAGATATGATTCAAGAAATATAATTCAGTGAGATAAGGTTGGAAAGACAAAGGCAGAGGTATTGACGAATCCAGAAGATTAGGATTTGAGAGAGCTCAAAGAGTGGATGCACCTGCGCCATTGCAAACGATTTTGAGCCATGTCGTTCAAGGTCTCTAACCATTGATGACTTTCGTCTCGCGGACCCCAGCATTGCTCGTATATCGTGGGACAACTGAGTAAGCAATGCTGTCGTTAGGAAACAAATACTAGGTAAGGAGGGCAGATCAATAGATGAAGTGGTGAAACTTCATCAGTTGAGGTGGTTGGGACATGTGTTACGTATGCCTAACCACCGACTGCCTCGAAGAGCTATGTTTTGTGGTGTAGGAGTAGGTTGGAAAAAAGTTAGGGGCGGTCAAACCAAAACATGGCACAAATCCATGAAATCACTGACAAGTAGACTGAGTTATGTTGGCAGATGTAAGCAACTTGGTTGAGATCCGCGAGACGAAAGTCACCAATGGTTAGAGACCTTCAACGACATTGCTCAGAATAATTTACAGTGACGCAAGTGCATCCGTTCATTGTGCTCTCTCAAATCCTAATCTTCTGGATTCGTCAGCACCAGTACCTTTGTCTTTCTAACCTTATCTCACTGAATTATATTTCTTGAATAATATCTTCAAACCCTAGTCTTCTTCATTACCATTAATACCTCTACTATCTTTATCACTATGTGATTTGATTTGACATT